GGCACCAGCACAGCCTCCTGGCCCCGGGAGCCCAGGCCAGCCGGCCACCCCTCTGCCATGGACTGCTCCGTGGCCGTGACTGCTCTCGGTCTCCACTAACAGCTGCCGTGGGCAGGACTCTGGTCCCCGCGTGGCCAGTGCTGAAGACCCTGCCGTCCTGTGTGGTCTCCACGTGGCTTCCACGTGGACGTAGCCTCGGGTGGGGCAGGGTGGCCTGAGGAGCAGCCCACGCCTGTCGCTGGGGCACCGGCACCCCAGCCCACGGTCACCTGGTCAGCCTGGGGTTGCAGTGTCATCCGCAGGCTCGGGGCTGCCCGGGCAGGGGAGCTGAGGCCCGGGGGCGGCGGCAGCGCCTCACGCTCGCTCTGGGACTCCAGGTGGAAAACGACATCTCCGCCTTCACCTACGAGAAGACGCTGCTGATGGAGCAGAGGTCGCAGATGTTGAAGCAGATGCAGCTCACCAAGGGCGAGCGGGAGCGGGAGGTGAGCGGCCCGGGAGTGCAGGCAGGTGGGAGTGGGAGAGGGAGGTGAGCGGCCCGGGGCGGACGGCGGGGGTTGGGGGGTGAGGCCCGGGCATGCGGGCGGGAGAGGGAGGTGAGTGGCTGGGTGTGCGGGCAGGTGGGAGAGGGAGAGGGAGGTGAGCGGCCCGGGAGTGCAGGCAGGTGGGAGTGGGAGAGGGAGGTGAGCGGCCCGGGAGTGCAGGCAGGTGGGAGTGGGAGAGGGAGGTGAGCGGCTGGGTGTGCGGGCAGGAGAGGGAGGTGAGCAGCCCAGGTGTGTGAGCGGGCGGGAGAGGGAGAGGGAGGTGAGCGGCCCGGGGCGGACGGCGGGGGGTTGGGGGGTGAGATGCCAGGGCGTGCGGGCGGGAGAGGGAGGTGAGAGGCCCGGGTGTGTGGGTGGGCGGGGCGGTGGGCCCACAGACGGCTGTCTGGGCACGCAGCATCCCCGGTGTGGCACCGGCTTATGCCCGCTGCCCCTGGTGTCGCCGTGAGGGGCGTGCCCAGCCCGAAGCGTGCAGACCGACGGCTCCTGTGTGTCTGCAGGGGCTGGGGTGGGGCGCTGAGGGGACGTGCTTCTGCCTGGGTCACGGCAGCACTCCGTCAGCTCTGGGCCTTGGGTTTGCCCGGGGCTCCCGCAGTCAGTGCGGGGCTCCCGCAGTGACGGGTCAGGCAGGGCACGGAAGTCGATCTGAGGGGCCCTGCGGTGCCCACCACCTGCTGATTCTGTGGGGGCCGCGGGCCTCCTGCCGCGGGCACAGCTGCCGGTCATCTCCCCTTTTACACTTCCGCAGTGGGGGCCCAGGCAGTGGTGGCCTGGGTGACGCCCCCCCCCGGGAGCCCTGGGGGCAGGGGGTGGACGCTGGCCTCCCCCTGGGAGCACCTGAGATGTTCCTGTGCTGGCAGGCAGGGGAGGGTGGCCTGGGGCCATGTCCAGCGAGAACTGCCCAGTGCCAGTGTCCCCTTGGTGCCTACATGGAGCCCTGGGGCCTTCTCTCTGGGGCAGGGGGAGGCGGAACGAGCAGCTGCGGGTGCGGGGCCGGTGCAGGAGCGGGCCGGGCCAGTCATGCGCTGATCAGCCCTCGCATCTGCGGGGCGGCCTGGCCCCAGTGGCCGCTGCTCACGCCGAGCCCCGCCCACCCCAGGCACAGCTGATCCACGACAGGAACACGGCGTCCCACACGGCAGCCTCCAGGGCCCAGGCCCCGCCGACACCGGACAAGGTGCAGATGACCTGGACCAAGGAGAAGCTGACGGCGGAGAAGCACAGGAACAAAGACGCCGGCGCGGCTGGGTTCCGAGACCTCTTCAGTCTGAAGCCGTGGGTGTCGGCCGCTGGCCTCTGGCGGGGGGAGGGGGGGTGCGGGGCGGCCCCAGGGGACAGAGCCCACCCTGTGCCCTGCGGAGCTGGGGCAGCCCCAGGGGAGGGGAGCCCACCCTGTGCCCTGCGGAGCTGGGGCGGCCCCAGGGGAGGGGAGCCCACCCTGTGCCCTGCGGAGCTGGGGCGGCCCCAGGGGAGGGGAGCCCACCCTGTGCCCTGCAGAGCTGGGGCGGCCCCAGGGGAGGGGAGCCCGGGCCGTGGAGGAGGAGCGAGGCAGCTGTGCTCAGTCGTCACTCCAGCTGGTGGGGAGCCGGGGCTGCTCCCTCTGGGGAAGACGGGGCCCGTGATGCCTGTGGGGTCGGGCGGGACCCAGGTGGGCTGCAGGGGCCTCGTGCTCACAGCTGGGGTAACGCGTGCCCTGTGCTTTCTCCTCTGCGTAGAGAATGGGGAAACCTGTAAGTCGCTGCCAGGCTTGGGCCTCTCAGCCCTGGCCTCCTTGCATGCTCGCGTGTGCAGCCATGTGTGCCGTGTGTGCATCTGTGTCCCGGTGCGGGCCCCGTGCAGGCAGAGCTCAGCCCTGGCCTCCTTGCATGCTCGCGTGTGCAGCCGTGTGCCGTGTGCGCATCTGTGTCCCGGTGCGGGCCCCGTGCAGGCAGAGCTCCACCGTGGCCTCGCGTGTGCAGCCGTGTGTGCCTCTGTGTCCCGGTGCGGGCGCCGTGCAGGCAGAGCTCCGCCGTGACCTCCTGGCGTGTACAGCCGTGTGTGTGCACATCTGTGTCCTGGTGCGGGCCCCGTGCAGGCAGAGCTCAGCCCTGGCCTCCTTGCATGCTTGCATGTGCAGCCATGTGTGCATCTGTGTCCTGGTGCGGGCCCCGTGCAGGCAGAGCTCCACCGTGGTCTCGCGTGTACAGCCATGTGTGTGCACATCTGTGTCCCGGTGTGGGCCCCGTGCAGGCAGAGCTCCGCCGTGGCGTCCACACCCGTCTCCCGTGGAACTCCCTGGGGCCCACACTGGACTCACTCGGAGCTGAGGCCAGCTGGTCCCGGGGGTTCCCCCACGTGTAGGGCAGGCGTGGGGTCCTCGTGTCCCTGAATGGGAGCCAGGCCTGTGACTTCAGGTCAAGACAGGACCTGCGATGCTTCCCCTGTGCAATCCGCCCTCCCCACGGGGAAGGGGTGTGGTCAGTCCGAGTTCCCAGGCAGGTGCTGTCCATCTCGTCTCCTCTGCCGTCACCTCGCTCTGCCCCCCACGCCGTGATCTCGTGGGCCTGGGGCAGGCAGGGGGGCTGCAAGCCGCCCGTGCCCACCACGTGGACCACCAGGGAGTTGGCTGCCGAGAGAGTCAGCCATGTTGACACAGGAGTAGGGCTTGCTTCCCCGTGGGCACACACGTGGGCGCACACACGTGCACAGACCTGTGCGAGGTCGGGTCTCCCTGGGCTTGGGCCAGCAGGCCGTAGACTCAGAGAAAACGTGGCTGCTGGGAGAGGCGCTCCCCACACGCGCCTCCGTGGGTCAGGGCAGAAGATGCCTCTGGAAGGTCAAAGGTCAGGGCTGCCCCCCCCCCCCCCCCGTCAGCCCGCAGTGACAGCACCGTGTCCCGGGGAGCACACGTGGGTGCCCGTGTGTGTTTGCGTCTGTCTCCTCCCTGTGCATAGCTGTCCATGTGTGTAATGCCATGTGTGCCACACGTGTCCTGCTGCATGTCCATAGGTGTGCATGTGTGCTCTGTGTCCGGGCATGTGTGTACATGCACACGCAAGTGTGTGTTCCCTCTTTCTCTCCCTGTCTCTGTGTGACTCGGGAAGTGCAGGAGCCAAGGGTGTGAATCCCCACGCTGCCCAGGACCCCGATGTCCAGCTCCCAGTCCCCTCCCCAGGGGCATGGGGGACAGATGCAGGCTGCTGTGTGCTGCCTGGGGCTCAGGGGCCGCCTGCCCTGCCCTGCCCGGCCCTGGGCTCCGGGCCCGCCGGCCGCCTCCTACCTCACAGTGCCCCAGTTCGGGGAGGGCCACTTCTCCCACGGCGGCTTCCTGGGACTCCAGTTCTGCCAGGCGCTGATGGCCCTCCCCACAGAGGGCCCGCGGTGCACGCCTGTGCCATCGCAGTGTCCCCACGCATCTGCGGCCAGGGCCGCGAGTGGCAGGGTCTCCGGTGTCCTGCCTGCCCTGGAGGCTGAAGGACCTCCTCCAGGTGGCCGAGGGCAGGGGGTCCTGGTTAGCCTGTGGCAGCTGCGCTCCACCTCCCGCCCCCTCCCCCCCACCCCGCACCCTGGGGACCCACACCGCAGGGGCTGCCCCAGCACGTGTGGGCGTGGCTTACCGAGGGGCCGCCGCCTGCTCCCCACAGGGACCACTCCAACGTCCGGCGGATGCACACGGCGGTGAAGCTGAACGGCGTGGTGCTCAGCAGGTCCCAGGACGCGCAACTGGTCCTGCTCAACATGCCGGGGCCGCCGAAGAACCGGCAGGGAGACGAGAACTGTATCCTTCCCTGCGCGCGTGCGCATGCGCATGCGCATATGCGGCGCGTCTCGCAGCCCCCAGGGAGCGCACCCTCCTCCAGACCAGGGCCAGGACTCCGAACTCAGCCTCGCGGGGTCGCCCCCACCGGGCCAAGGAAGGGGTGGCCCCGGCTCCCCCGCATCCCTGGGATGGCTCAGAAGCCGGGGCGGGGGGCGTGCGGTCCGGGCCCCCCTCTCAGGCGCCAGGGCCAGGGTGCGCCCCCGCGAGTGCACTGGGCCCTGCTGTGGCCGTGCCCTGCCCTCCCAGCTCCTAGGTCACCTCGCCCAAGCAGACTCCTGGCCCCAGCAGTGCCCGGTGCGCAGCTACTGGCCCGCCGAGGCTCAGGGCTGCCCGCGGAACGTGCGCCGTGGGGTCCTGCCTGGGGCCCAGGGCAGCGCCCGTCTGGCTGAGCCTCAGGCCTGCGGCTGGCCGCTGGGCTGGCCTGGCCGGGGGCAGCTGCTGCCTCTGCACCCCACCCCCCACCCCGTCCTCCTTCCCAGCAGCTGAGTTTCTTGTGGCCTTAACCCCGCCCACCCCAGACATGGAGTTTCTGGAGGTCCTGACCGAGGGGCTGAACCGGGTCGTGCTGGTGAGGGGCGGCGGCCGGGAGGTGATCACCATCTACTCCTGAGGCCCCGGGACGGGGCAGGCCTGGACGCCCCACGGCTTCCTGCGGAAGCTTCCAGGCCTGGTGCCGGCTCCTCCTGCCGCAGGGTGTGCCCTGGGCCGGCTGCTGGCTCCCCCCAGGCCGTGTGTGGCAGGAGCCCCCAGTCCGTCCGCAGCACCCGTGAAGCACGCATGCTCCTCCGTGACGAAGGTGTGGTGCAGGGGCCTGCGCCGGCCCCCAGGGCCCCGTCTGTCAGCACGCAGGGAGCCCACTCAGCCGGGGGCCCCGAGGTCAGTGCACCCAGCCCTGTGCACCTGCCCTATGCCACAGCAACCCGACGACACCCAGTCATGCCCGGGACGCTCCCGGTGCCTGGCCTCCAGCCTGCACGTCTGGGAGCAGTGGCCAGCCGCAAGGCTGAGGGTCATCGGTGCCATCGTGGTGGCCATGCGCATGCGTGTCCCTGAGCTCCGTCCGCTGCCCCGAGTATCCATGGTCCCAGGGGGCGACACCGGGTCTTCGCAGGGCCTTAGAGGTGTGGGCCCAGGACGCGGCACCGCCCCCGCTAGATGGCGTATTTATTTATTTAAACACCGGCTGTCCAGGCCCTCGCCGGCTGGCGCCCACAGGCTCTACGGGGCTGGGTCCGTCCTTGGACTTCAGGCCAGGCAGAGCACGGCGTGCGCTTCTGGGCTCCCAGGGTTCGCCTGCTGTCGCGGCCACGCCCGGCCGTCCCCAGCAGGCTGTGCTGGGGGAGCCGCCCAGATCACTGTTTTTATAGAAGCTGTCTTTGTATGATTTTTGTTTAGTAGAAAAATAAAGTGGTCTCTGAAGAACTGCACGTTTCATACTGTAGACGCTGGCGCCCCGAGGGGTTTCCCCGAGACCCCTCCCGGCATCGCAACCCGCGCCCAGTCAGCCGAGAGCCGAGGAAAGCGCCCGGTGGCGTGGTGAACGCCCCACCTGCGGGGGAGCTGGCGGCCCCGGGCACGCAGCGTGGAGGCAGCCAGTGTACCCGGCAGCTGACAACCGGTGTGGCCCAGCCGTCGGCAGAGCAGGACTGGGCAGTGGCTGTGCGTCTCTGATGGCAGGGACACGGGAGGCATTGGTGGTGACACAGGAGTTGGTGACATGGACGGTGTCCGTGGTGACCTGGGAGGCGTAGGTGGTGACACAGGGAGTGTAGTCAGTGACACGGGGAGCGTAGGTGGTGACACGGGAGTTGGTGGTGACATGGGAGATGCCCTCGTGCAGATCTGGACTTGGGCACTGCGCGTGCTCTGCTGTGGGCTGTGGGCGGGGCTGAGGTGTGAGGCTGGGCGTCCGGCGGGCACTGCATGGCTGGGTCAGCCGTCGCTGGCTTGGCCGTGGCAAGAGTGACCACGAGGGCCAGGCCTGCGGCTCTCAGCACAGAGGCAGTCCCCAGGCCAGGGGACCGAGACGGGCAGAGGCCTGCAGGCGGCCAAGCAGGCGTGGGCCTCGTGGCACAGAACAGAGGCCTCTGGGACCTCTACACTCATGCTGTCCCCTCCCCCAGTGGCTTTGGGGCACCCGTCCTCTGGGGTGATGGTGCCCTGACCCCTGGCACTGGACCTAAGCACTTCTGTGGCCCCTGACCACTTCCTGTGGGCACCACATGTGGGGATGGCCCTCTGGCCGTCTGACTCAAGCACTCAACACTGGTGTGGCCCCCGGGGCAGGGTGGAGGTGTTTCTGCCCACCCCCACCCCGTGCCGAGGACCCAGTACAGGGGCCGTGGCTGCGCTGGCCACCGTGTCAGGCTGGCCCGGCCGAGGCAGAGAGCCGAGGCCACAGCACCAACTCGGGCCCCCAGGAGCCCCGGGCCGAGCCTCGCCTTCACGCAAGGGGGATGGAAGGGTCCCCCAGAGAGTGGACAGGGCCGGGCCTGGCCCCAGGGAACATGGTGGCCAAGGGGGCCGGCTCAGGCTGCCTGGGCAGGAGCGGGTTTACCTGGAACGCACCTGCGGGCCTTCCCCGGGCTCGGGTGCAGCTGCCCGGCTCTGAGGTCACCAGCAGCCACCACGGCCGTGCTCTGCCGCCTCCCCGGCGCCCACAGCAGAGCCCCTGCCCACCTCCATGCTCGTCCAGGTGGGCGACCTGCAAGGCTTCAGGGACTCCCGTCCCTGGCGGGATCCAGGTCCTTCCTCCAGCTCAGGCCTCCTGGGCACCAGCAGGGGACGCAGAAGGCTCAGTACAGCCGGGGTGTGAACGCCAGGGCCGATGTGGAATGGAAGACGGTGAGGACGCCGTCCCTCAGCAGCCCCCGTGCTGGACCGCCCCCAACACTGGGCCGCGTGGAAGTGTGAGCAGGTGCGGCGGCGTCCAGGGAGCCCAGCCACACGAGTGCAGGGTGTTGTTTCTGGGGTTTCCTTAGGGCCAAGTGGGGGACTCACCCATCCGCGACGGCGCGGCTCGCATGTGCTGGCGTGGACTCGGACGTGCCCCCTCCTCGCTGCGCTGGCTGCACATGCATGTGCCAGGCCTGGAGAGGAGCCTCAGCGACCAGCTGACCGCTGCTGGTTTCAACCCTGAAAACAGCGCCGGGGGCGGGGACAGGCGCCAGAGCCCGCCCCTCGTCCTGGAGGACAGCAAGGAGCCCCCACCCCGGCCTGGGCCCACCTGTGTCCCGTCAGGACGCTGCCCTGCCCCGCCCACATTCCACGCCCCTCCCCGCGGTGAGCAGATCCCACAGAGGGCACACCCCGTGCTGCGAGGACCCCTCCCGCACCGGGCCCTCCTGGCCATGAATGACGGCAGACACAGGTGCGCGTTTCCACGCGTGTTTGGTGTTTATAGATCACACTCAGCTGTCACAAAATCCACGTGGCCTCAAGGCAGCAGCGGGGCGGAGTCCCATCCGTGCCCGCGCCCGTGCCCGCGCAGCTAGGGCGGGTGGAAGTGGTGGTGGTGGAAGTGGTGGTGGTGGTGGTGGTGTTCGTGCCGCTGGACCACGGGCACCGTGTGGCCCTCACCTGCCAGCGCGGGGGGCAGCTCCACGGTGGCCGGGTGGCCATGCGTGGCCTTGCGTGGCGAGTGGCCCTCCCTGCCCCTCTGCCGGTACCGCCTGTGGCCGTCCTGCGGGGCTGGGGCCGGCAGGTGGTGGCCCAGGCCTTTCCCAGGCTTGCAGCTGCCGGGGGCCTCGGGCGGCCGCCGTGAGCCCTTGGGAGGCTTGAGGGGCGGCTGCTCCGGCCCCTTCGGCCGGGGCTGCACGTCTGGTGCCCAGGCTCCGCAGGCGTGGGCGGCGTGGCCATCGTGGGCGTCCGAGTCCTGCGAACGGGACCTGCTCGGCGCGTGCCTGGCCTGCGTCGGCGGGGACCCTGCGCACAGAGTGGCTCAGCAGTGACCCCGGCCCACATGGGGCAGGGCGGCCCCTGAGGCCAGGCAGCCACGTGCTGCCAGCTGCGCGCGGGTCCCCAGCTGGGGCTCAGCTGCCACCCCTGGGGGGAGGCTCCCGCCCACTCCCGCCCACTCCCACTGTGAGGGGCTGCAGCTGGGACGCGCTTCCGGAACCCCCGTGTTAAAGAGTCCAACACTGGCCACCTGTGTGCAGGTTTCCGCCCTCCAGGCTGACGGGACTGAACACCCCGCTCTGTCCAGCTGGGGACAGCGGCGGCTGGCGGAGCAGGGGCGAGCAGGGGCCTCCCCGACGCCTTAGTTACGCCCGGTTCTGGGACCAACCCCTCCCGCCCCTAGGACAGGGCCTGCTGGGCTCCAGCCCAGCACTCTCAGCAGCCACACGGGCGCCGGCGGCTGCCCCTTCTGAGCACCCGGAGGAAGCCCCATGCTGTCCCCGTCCTGGCCCAGGGACCCCCCACACCCACAGGCACGCACCCCGTCCCTGCTGTAGGGAACCCAGGAGCCGCAGGGGTGAGGGCGGGGCCTCATGCGGCATCTCCACCCAGGGCAGTGCCAGCTGCCCAGGACCTACCGGGGCCGAATCTGGACGCGTAGTTCTCCGTCCCCGCGAGGTCCAGGTAGTGGTTCCTCCGCTCTGTGTTCTCGTCCACACAGCAGGGCCCCCGCACAGGGCAGGCCTGGGCCTGGGCATCGGGCCTCCTGCAGGGCGCAGGGCCAAGGAGCTGACCACCCACCAGGCAGGACAGGGGTCCCAGGCTGGGTGTGGTCTGGCCAAAGGGAGCAGAAGGGAGGGTGGGCACAGCCAGGCGGCATCCAGCAGGTGGCCCAACCGGGATGGAGACCCTGACCCAGCAGCTCACGCCGGCGTGCCCTGTGGTCACGACACTGCCCCCACCATGGCCAGCGAGCAGAACACGGCCCTCGAGCGGCCGGGCGGGCTCTTGCAAGCCCCCTACAGCTGCTCAGTGCCCAGGGTGCTCGGCCCAGCCTGGCCCCGGTCACTGGGCAGGGTCCTGACAGGCACCCCGCCCAGGACCGCAGCAGCGCCCACCTCCTGCACGCGGGGCCCGTCCAGGCAGGCCAGCCACGAGAGCACAGCGGGAGGTGGCCGGGGCTCCCAGCAGTCCTCACCTGCCCTGTGCAGACGGCTTCCTGTCGGCCGCCCCGGGGTCCTGGGCCAGCTCCGCTTCTGTCCCGCAGCCACCAGGCTCCGCGTCTGAGGGGGCAGAGCCGACTGTCCCCTCCTGGGGCTCATGTGCTCCCCCAACTCCATGTTGTCACCCCGCCCCCACTGCCTGGGGAGGGGTGAATCCCTCTCCACACTTCCACTCACAGCCCACGCGTCCACTCACTTCCCAGCCACATGTCCACTCACTGTCCATCCACGCATCCACTCACTGCCCAGCCACATGTCCACTCACTGTCCATCCATGCGTCCACTCACTGCCCAGCCACACAGCCTGAAGTCCTGCAGGCACCAGCCCTGCTTGGGGTGTGGGGGGAGCAAGGGTACAACTGGGACACCTAAGGGTGTGGGGGGCTGCCGGGGGAGTGGACTTGAGGGAGGAGAGGTCTCCACGGACCCGGTGCTGCCTAAGCAGAACACCACCTCCTGGAAGCCCTCCTGGGTTGAGCCCAGAGCCTCACCCTGGCCGCTGGGAGGCCCGTCCTCGCCAGAGGGCTTGGGGCTGACGGTCAGCGTCACATGCAGGGTCTTGCTGCTGTCTGGGGAGTGGCTGATAGAGGCGTTGACCACCTCGCAGACGGTGTGCATCAGGCTGGACACGTCCTGGGCGGACAGAGCTAGCCTCAGAGGGCACTGCCCCCCCCAGGATGCCTCCAGGGGCCGCTGGGCCCACATGGCCCCGCCCTTCACGTCCGAGGCCTGTCCAGGTCCCACTCGGCACAGGCGGGCTCACGTGCTCACTTGAGGTGCCACGTCCACACCCGCGCTGACCGCTGCCGCCTCCCCAGGGGCCCCGCGGGCTCGGCGTGGGCGCCTCCAGGTGGGCCTCTCCTGACCTCCCCTCCCCCACGGCCGGGACACCCCTCACCTCCCGGGTGACCTTCCCGCTGCTGTCCAGGTCATACAGCGTCAACGTCCACTCCTGCCGGCTGCCGCCCTCCACCGAGACGTCACACCGCAGCACCTGGCGGCCGCCCCCGGGGACGGGACAGGTGTCACCCTCGGCCACGACTCCCCGCAGCCCCTCCAGGGCCTGCTTCAGACTTGGCCATGGTCTTCCCAGCTCACCCCGAGGGCGGTGCGGCTGGAGCAGGGGCCAGAACCCGCAGACCTGTCCCTGCTCAGCAGCCGTGCTGACCGCCCGTGCCCAGTGCTGTCCACACCACAGGGCTCAGCTCAGAGCCCAGGAGCCAGCCCAGCCGCCTCTGCCCCAGGCTGGCTCTTGTGCGCTGCCTGGCCGTAGCCACGCCCCCCGCACCCACAAGCCGTAGGCCCCACCCACACAGGGGCCAACACCTACTCGGACACTCAGGCGCCTTCTGCCCAGGCCCTCCCCAGCCACCGGGCCGCCTCTGTCCTCCACGCGGGGCAGTGGGGCCGCGCCCTCGGTCTTCTCCGCAGTCTGTGCCACTGGGGACATGGGGGGTACGGCTCAGTCCAGGAGCTGCCCCCACTGCCCCTGCCACAAGGGAGCTGCCCCCCGCTCTGACCCTGCGAGAAGGGAGCTGTCCCCCCGACACTCTGACTTGACCCTAACAGAGGGAGCTGCCCCCCATTGCCCCTCCCACAAGGGCTGGAGCTGAGAAGCGAGGGCACTGTGCTGCTGCCCACCTGTGTCGGCCACAGCCGGGAGCCCCTTCCTGACCCCTCCCGCCACACCCTGCCCAGGGGCCACCCTCAGGCCAGAGCGGGTGCTCCCTGAGTCTCAGGGCTCCCTAACTGCACCATCTAGTTTTCCAGGAACCCGTGGCCCAGAGCCCACCGGCCACGAAGGCCACAGTGGGCTGAGCTTCCAACGTGGACGGGGCGCTTCCACGCCTGGGGCCCACCCACCCCCCAGTTCTGCCACCCCTGTCCCCGGCATGCGGCCCAGCCCGTGCTGCGCGGCCCCACCTGCGGGAGCCGTCCAGTGTGAGAGCCCCTCCTGCACCCCGGGCCCCGCCCCGTCACGGGGGACACGGGGAGGCCCACAGCGCAGCTCCAGCCAGCACTCACCCTCCAGTGGACTCCGGCTCTCCCAGGGAGGCCCCTCCTCGGGGTCCCCATTGAGCAGCTCCTGCGGGGACGACAGGGCAGGGGTGACCACGAGCTCTGGGCAGCCTGAACTGGACCCTGGCCCCAGTCCCCCGAGGCACCTCGGTGTCCTCTGCTGTGCGAGTCCACGAACCCCAGCCTCTCGGAGCCCCCTGTGTGCCGGGACCCGGACGCAGGCCTGGCCTCACACACGCTGCCCCCAGAGAGCCCTGCCCACCACCCAGGCGCAGGAGCCCCGCCGGCCCTCGCGGCTCCCAACAAGCAGCAGACATGGACGTGGGGACACAGGCGGGGTGTGGGGAGCCGCGCGTCCGATGTGATGGCAGCGCCGAGCCCCGGGAAGGCTCCTGCGTGGCTCAGGCAGCCGGGCCACGTGGCCCACGAGTCCTCCACCTGCCGTCTCTGGCCCCAGGCGGCTGCAAAGCCGGTACGAGCAGGGCAAGGGTCCTGGCGTCGACTTGGTGGGTCTGTCAGCCACAGTCGACCGGGGAGAGGATGCGGGGGCTGGGGCCACAGCTGCACCACAGCACCCTGGCCCCCCTGCCCCCACCCTGTGCTGTGGCCCCAAACAGCAGCCTGGAGTCCAAGCCAGGCTGGCCAGCAAGGAAGGGCGGGGACACAGCAGGTGCCAGCACCCTCCTGCCATGGTGGTCACTGACTAGGGTCCACACAGGGGTGACAGAAGGTTCTAGACTGACACCCCCACCCGCAGACCCACAGGCAGTGGGCGGCATGGGGCGCTGAGGCCAGCCCCCAGGTGAGTACCGAGTAAAACTTCCCCTCACTGACTTCCCCGGGGGCAGCAGCAGGGCCGAGGCCTCCAGGGAGGAGCCCCCCACATCCCACCCAGAGCACAGGGGGCCCGGCGCCTGCCCCGACCGGCGACCACAGCCACGGAACAAACTGCTCCAGGACCCTGCTGAGTGCCACGCCCTGGTCACACAGGGCCAGGCGCCCCACGGCCCCCCACCGGCCGAGGGCTGAGAGGGAGGGGCCCACATCCTCCCTCCGGCAGCCCTGCTGGGAACCCCCCACCCCAGCCCACAGCAGGGGGTCCTCGTCTCCTTGCGGCTGCACAAGCACAGGCAGTCAGGACCCCAGGGCTGAGGGCCAAGTGCTCGGCCCTCGTGGCCGGAAGGACTGTGACAAGGCCCTGGGGCCAGCACAGCTGACGAGTCGCAGGTGCAGCAACACCCAGGAACCTGGCGGAACCTGGAGGCCACGCCCAGGGTTTCCACCTTGTTCCTCGTGACGTGAATGATGAACCCGTCATGTCTGTTACACGTGGAGTTAGAACACGCTGCACACACGTGTCCACTACACCTGGAGTTAGGAGCGGAACATGCAGCATGTACATGTCTACTACACGCTGAACACTCAGCATGAACATGTGTCCACTACACACGGAGTCAGCGGAACATGCGGCACACATGTGTCCACTACACACGGAGTCAGCGGAACATGCGGCACACGTGTCCACTACATGTGGAGTTAAACACTTGGCACACACATGTCCACTACACGTGGAGTGAGGAGCCCAACTCCGCACACACACGTCCACTACGCAGTCTCGAGTTTAAAGTGATCGGCGTGTTTGCTCTTGGCGCGTGTGCTGGCTACAGGTGGGTGGAGACGCTCGGGGATGGGGTGGGAAACGCGGCAGGAGGAGCCGCCACAGCCTGGGCTGAGCCCCCGGGGGTTTCCCAGGGCCGGAGTAACCGCCGGGCGTCACCAGCCAGGGCTACCATACAAACGCTACCACAACCAATCCGTGACCGAGAACCACCCAAGGCTGGGCAGGCCCGAGCTCCCTGGCACAGCAGGCGGCTCCCGAAACACACCCCACGGGCCCCACCTCCGGAACCGCCTGGGCCCGAGAGCCGCAGCCACAGCCCCGCCACCGAGCGGCTCACGCTGCGGGGAGGACTCTCCGAGGGCTGCACGTGGGTGCTCGGAGCACACGGGCCGGGACACGGCCCAGCCTCCTGTCGTGTGCGCCCCAGGACTTCCTGAAGAAAGGCGGCCAACACGGGGCTCCCCAGCTGCCCCCAAGGTGCCAAGGGTCAGCCTCCCCAGGAGCCCCGACCACCCACGAAGGGCCACTCACCGGCCCCCACTGCACAGCTGCCACCCTGCTTGGCCTCCTGGCCAACTCCTCCCTTTCCACCCCCACCCCGGCTGCCAACGTCCAGCTCTGTCCCCACAGCGCCCGGACGCCCTGACCAAGCCTGTGGCTTCCTGTAGGCCCCTGGTACTGACCCCCACAACTGCCCGCGCTCCTCCCAGTGCCCACCCTGCCCTCGCCTGCTCGCCCACTCATTCTGCAGGGTGTGCAGGGCGCCCTGCCGGCCGTGGGGCCCGCGTCCCAGGGGCAATGCCACACAGAGCAGCAGCTGCCCCGCCTGCTGAGTGTCCACTTGGCACCACCGGACGGCCTGCACCGTGGACCACCGTCCCCACCCCCGGGCAGGCGGGGGTCTTTCCCCAGGACTCAGGAAGGCAAGGGGGACAGCGTCCCCTCCTGGGCCTGGTGTGGGGGCTGCAGAGGGGAGGTGGCCGCCCTGGAGGCCCGGCCTCACCGCGGGGAGCTGCTCACAGAAGCTGGCCTTCCCCTGCTGGACGTGGGTGGTGCGCGCTGGCTGATGCTGTGCTGGGGAGCTCGGGGTGGGCGTGTCCAGTCCCCCCCCCCACAGGCCTCAGTGGATGCACCGCACTGACCCCTGCCCTGTGGCCGTGGCTCCCCAAGGTAGCAGGTGTGGCCACAGGGACCGGAGCAGAGGCGCCGGCCCGTCACGCCTCTGGCAGCCAGGCCCACGGAGCAGTGCTCGGCTCTGCTGGGGGTGGGGAGGACGCATTCACCCAGCCCGGCCCCACCGGAGGGGGCTCCATGTGGATGGAGTCCAAGAGTGGGAAGAGGGGACCGGGGTGTGGGGGGACACAGAATGGAGGAGACAGAGAGGGACGGAGAGAGCGAGCGATGGAGACTGGCAGAGAGGGGGTTCCTTTGGGGGCGCTCCTTGGGGCGGCAGGGAGCGGGGACTGGGGACTGATCCGGTGCTGGACGGCATTTTCTGGAACTCTGTTCTCCAGCCACAGCCCTGCAGAGATGGGGTGGGGCGGGCCCACGTCTGAGGCCGTCGGGAAGGTGCTGTCCACCAAGCATCCCTGTGACCCTGGGCCAGTACGGATGGGCACGCGTGTCTAACCCCACGCACGCTGTGACCAGCCTGGCTGGGATCTCATCGGGGCGGGGGGGGGGGGGGTTGCCTCAGGAGCTGGAGGGAAAGGGCCCCATCAGGCCCATGTCCAGCTCCGGCCACACAGCCCCCCACTGGCACAGAGCTCCCAGCAAGGGGCGCACCAGGCGCCCAGGGCAGCTCCGCCTCCAGGAGTCCACATGCCTGGGGCTACCTGGGGGCATCGTGCGCAGGTCCGTGGGCCCCACAGGAGGCCGAGGGCTACAGGAGCGGGGACGCCGCCCTTCAGACCTGGAGGGTGATCTGGGGGGCCATGGGCTGGGCGGGGCCTGGCAGCCAGGGAAGTTCCTGGGCCCTTCCCCGGGGCTGTGCGGCCACATTTCCGGGGAGCCCCAGGATCCGCGGGGCCATACCTCGCCCTGTGCCTGTGTCGGACTCTGTGACAGACAGGTGTCCAGCTGCAGCCAGATCATCCTGATGCTGGGGTCCCGGCACCCCTCAGACACACACGCATCCTCGCGGGCCAGCACCTGGAGTCACCTCCACGCTCACCCAGCTTCTCAGCCTGGGTCACTCGAGCAGCAGAAGGTCCAGGAGCTGGCCTGGCCCACGGGCCCCCGCTGGGAGTCGCCCACCCCGGTCCTGCCCAGCACACGGCACTGTCCGGCATGAGACGGAGGGCGGTCACTCTGGTCCAAGGCCGCTCTGCCAGTGAAGAGAGCTGCACCTCGAGGGATAGGCGGGGACAGAGGCAGGACGCGGCTCACGAGCCAGTGGCCAGGGGCACGCATGAGCCACGCTGACCGCTGAGTGGCAAGGACGAGCCTCGGGGCACCTGAGCACCCACCTGGCGCAGGGACCAGCCCACGTCCCTCCCAGGAGGTGGAGGTGGAGGTGGGGGGGAGGGGTGTTGGAAACAAAGAATTTCAACACAGACCCAAAATCTGCACACATGTGTGTCCCCACATGCATGTACACTGCACACAGGTGCCCTTACGTGTGCATAGTACATATATGCCCCAGCATGTACATGTGATGCACACGCGTGCCAGCATGCGTATGCACTGCACACGTGTGCCCCTGGCACGTATGCACACTGCATGTGTGTGCACCAGCATGTATATGCACTGCACATGCGTGCCCCAGCATGTACATACACTGTACACGTGTTCCCCAGCATGTGTGTGCACTGCACACGTGTGCCCCTGGCACGTATACACACTGCATGTGTGTGCACCAGCATGTATATGCACTGCACATGCGTGCCCCAGCATGTACATACACTGTACACGTGTGCCCCAGCATGTGTGTGCACTGCACACGTGTGCCCCTGGCACGTATACACACTGCATGTGTGTGCACCAGCATGTATATGTACTGCACATGCGTGCCCCAGCATGTACATACACTGTACACGTGTGCCCCAGCAAGCATGTGCATGGCACGTGTGTGCCCCAGCATGTGTGTGCACTGCATGCGTATGCCCCCAGTATGTACATATGATGCATGCATGTGCCCCAGCATGTATGTGCACTGCACACATGTGCTCACAGACACCGCTGCCTGGTCACTGAGAAGCCAGCACCAGCGCCCCAGGCCCCGTCTTCATTCAGACCTCACTGTCTCCTCACAAGGCCTCAGAGCCTGGAGGAAAAGGTGGGGGCACCTCTGAGCCCACGGCCGCCCCTGAGCTCACTCACCCAAAGGTCACAGATGCACAGCATGGCCAGCAGGGCCCTCCCCCACGCCTGCAGGGGCCCAGCCAGTGCCCCCGTGGTGCCCAGCCCCTGCCCCTGTGGCACGCAGCCCGTGCCCCCACAGACAGCAGCAGAGCGAGGCCACACGGCCCTGGCCCCTCCAGGGGGGCTCTGCATTGGGGCGGTGCACACACCCTGAGCACTACAGCCCACTGACCACACCAAGGGGCTGGAGGGCACAGACAGCTCCAGCGACTTCCACAGAGGCCACCATGTCCCCTGCCAGGAGCGTGGCTGAGAGCCCAGCGAGAAGGGAACATGCGTCTACAAGCACACCGTCTTGGCTGCTGCCTGGCCACACAGCAGGAGCCCTGCCCCACTGCCCTCCCGTGGTACCTGACACGTGGGTGCAGGACAGGGCCCGCAGGCAGGTGGGTGCTCCAGCCCTGCCCACAGGACCCTGGCCCCATCGCTCTCCCAAGGGGGAGTGTGGGGACAAGGGCCAGGTGTGGGAACGGGCACAGCGTCACCAGAACAGGGTGCAAGGAGCCCCCCGCTCCTGCGCCAGGGCCCAGGGCTCCCAGGTCACAGCGCGGCACTGGGGAGCAAGGCCCCCGCCCGGCATCTGGAGTGGACAGCTTCTGAGGGGAGAGGCCACCTAGAGGAGCAGGGACTCCGGAAGGCGGCCAGAGGGAGAGGCGCCCAGGGCTGCCCGCACCCCCATGCGGGTGCCTGGGCGTGGGTCCAGGCTGTGTCCATCACAGCCTCTGGCCAGCGCGCACCCCGAGAGGCGGCAGCAGTGAGGGCTCAAGGACAGGACGGGTGCACCTGCTCCCTCGTGAGAGACCCGGATGCAGCTTCGACTGGCTGGCCCTGGCTGTGGGGGCATTTGGATAGTCACCAGCGGATGGAAGGCCTCTCTCCAACTGTCCCTCTGCCTTTCAAATAAAGGTGAATAAATAAAAAATAAGACAAAAAGCACAGTCAGCTCTCATTCCCCGAGCGGACGCGGGAGGCCGGTCCTGGAGCGGACATCGTCGTGGACCGGGACCTCGGGCAGGAACCGCCCACCCCGCAGATGCGTGACTGCCCACTTGGCGTGGACACCCTGCTGGCTCCACCCCACAGGTGCACGGGCGCAGAAGTGGTACACAGACGGATCTGGCGCGGGTCTGCCATGCCCCATGTCCATCCACAGCGAGGCCGGTGGAAGAGGTTCCTAGCGACCAGGAGGCGGTGCGTGGAGCAGGCGGGGCTCCGGGGGTGTGGTGCACGAATGGGCAGGGCTCCCAGGGGCAGAGCTCGGGGAAAGCAGGAGTGGCTCCCAGGGCGTGCTGGGTGGAGTGGGTGGGGCTCTAGGGTGTGGTGCATGGAGTGGGCGGGTTCCCAGGGGCGTGCTGGGAGGGGAGTGCAAGGGGCTCCTGGGGCGTGGCGTGTGCCCCTTGCCACGTCTGTGAATGCGAGACGGTGCTGTCCAAACGGACTTAAAGCCCTTCAAGGAGTCGGGGCTCCCACCAACCATGGCCCCTAGCGCACAGCGAGCCCGGTGCGGAGGAAGGCACATCGCCACTGCTGCCACGTAGGGCCCCGGCCCCGCCCTGGAATCCTAACCATGGAAGGGGCTGAGCCCTGGGTCCCAGGAGCCACAGGGCACAGCTGTGCTGTGGGCACTTGCGCCATGGGGCTCTGTCCTCACAGGTGGTGGCCAGGGTGTCCAGTTGGTCACTCCAGCTCGCGAAGGGGCCTCCTTTTAGAAGAATGCACTCAGAGCTGCAGTGTGCACAGCTCAGGGCATCAGCCAGCGGTGTAGACAGCTCCAGGCCCCAGCCAGCAGTGTAGACAGCTCAAGGCCTCAGCCGGCGGTGTAGACAGCTCCAGGCCCCAGCCAGCAGTGTAGATACCTTGAGGCCCCAGCTGGCAGCATAGACAGCTCCAGGCCCCAGCCGGCACCACAGGCCACCTGAGGCCCAGCTGATGGCCCGAGGCTGCGGGTGGCTCTGTCCTCAGCCCTGGCACTCCATCGCCATGGCGACGCACCTCTTCCCACCCCGTCCCCCTCGGTGCCCCACAGCACACATTCCCACCAGACCCTCCTGGCTCCGTCCCTGATACCCGGGAGCCGTGTCCTGGCACACACAGCTCCTTGGCACCCACCGCAGACCTGGGCAGGCACACGTCTGGGACAAGCAGGAGCCAGCACGGGGGCATTAGGTGTGGATGGCAGGATCCCTGTGGCCAGTGCGGCCACGGGCTGCCTTGCGTGGACACACAGGCAGCTTTGGCGAGGGGGGGTAAGGAGGGCAGCCCACCCTGGCCCAATGATGGTCGCCGGGGCACAGTGTGAACCCCAAGGCTGCCCACCTCTGGGTCGGCACCCAAGCCCCCGACAGCGGCAGGCAGGGCTGCGCACTGTTTAGGGGCTGCCTCAGAACAGGGCTTCACCTGTGTCCATGCCAGAGCCCACGGCACACCTCACACACGTCCCCCATGCCAGAGCCCACGCCACACCTCACACACGGCCCCCATGCCAGAGCCCACGCCACACCTCACACACGTCCCCCATGCCAGAGCCCACGCCACACCTCACACACGGCCCCCATGCCAGAGCCCACGCCACACCTCACACACGGCCCCCATGCCAGAGCCCACGCCACACCTCACACACGTCCCCCATGCCAGAGCCCACGCCACACCTCACACACGTCCCCCGAGGACCCCGGCCTCAGAGAACACGGGCAAACACGGGGAGCCCGCCGGGAACCTCATCCAGAACCGGCCAAGCACCGCCCCGAAGGAAACGCCGGGCAGCCCCGCTTCACAGCTGGGACCGATGGATCACACACCTGCGAGCCCCGAGCCCCGGAAACTCTCCCCGTGCGCAGCGGGAGGGGGTCGCCACGCCCCCCGCCCTCCCCCGCTGCCTGCTGCAGGAGGATCAGGATCAGCACCGCGTCCGGACAGGAGCCGCGCCCACGCCTCCTGCGCCTGCGGGGGCCGGCCGCTGTCCCAGGCCGTCTTTGTGTCACTCGCGATTCTGCGCAGGTCTCGATCACCTCCCACCTCCCCACACACACACCCGGCACCCAGGACGGGGCACTCCTGTTTTCAGGGACACCTGGGTCCTCACCTGCGGGCAGCACCTGCGCCCGAGGGTGCACAGCTGCCCCTGGTCTCTACGCTGGTCACTCCCGGGAAGGGACGCGACGCGGGCCGGCCTCCGACTCCGGCCATCCCTGCAGCGCGAGGGACTGCCCCTGTAGTCCCGGGCCGCCCCAGGACCCCCGGCTGGAACGTCCGGGCGCCAGCCCCGGCCCGCGCCCTCCCCCGAAGAGTAGGCGCCACAGTCCCGGGCGTCCCAGACGTCGCGGAGTGACGGCCTCGGGGCCTTGCGCGCCGCCCACTGCGCCCCCAAGTCCCCGGGCCTGCTGGCCGCCCTCCACGCCCCGCGCCCTGGCCCGGCCCCCGCCTACCTGCTGGTCCCGCGCGCGCCGCTCCGCCTCCTCCGCGCCCCTGCGGCCGCTCGCTTGTGCGGACACTGCGAAGCTGCCCCCTGCGTGCCGGCGCCGACGCGCGGGAAACCAGCACCGAGGACGGAAGGAGACGCCGTGAGCTCCGCGGGGTCCGAGCCCGCGCTGGCCCCACCCCGGGGCTCCAGAGTGACCGGGCTGGGGCGAGGGCCGTGCGTTCCCGGGGGCCCTGCCGGCCCGGCCCGCCCGGGGACGCTCGCCGGGGCTGGGGTCCGGTCGGGGCGCCGCTCACCTTCGGGGCTCTCCCTGCGCGCGCTGGCTGCTGCAGCGCGTCCGGAGGAGGCGGGCAGGGAACGGGGGTCGGCACCCTCCCCTCGCCGCGCCCGCGGCTCCACACGCCGAGACTGGAGCGCGCCCATGGCCGCCGCCAGGGCCAGGGTCCGGGTCCGGGGTCGAGGCCCGGGATCGGGGCGCGGCTCCGGCGGCCGAGCGGCTGGCTCCTTTTGAGAGCGCGCGCCCGCGCCGGGGCTTTAACCGCGGCCCTCGCAGCGCCCCCCGCGGCCGCGTTCCGCAGCGCACCCGGCGCCGACCCCCACCAACACCTGGGGCTGGACCCGGACGCGCGGCCTGGCAGGGTGGTCGGGGCTGCGGCAGGCCCCCGACGCCAGTGTCCTGAGGACCTTGCGGGCCTGTACGCCCAGTGCTGGGGACCCGGGGGCCACTCCCTTGCTAGGGGCGGGCCTGGGCGCCGGGGCCTCCGAAAGGGAACTTGGCTCCCGTGCAGGCTGGGGGGAGTCAGGAAGCCCAGGGGAGGGACCTCGGCGGAGGGAGGGGCCCTAGGAGGGGGCTCCGCGCGGGACCCCTCTGCGCCTCCCGGGAAAGCCCAGATCCGGCCTTCCTGCCCCGCAGTGATGAAGGCGCCTGCGCCGGCCGCCAGCACGGACCGGCCCTGCACCCCCGCCTTTGTTCTTTGTTGGGCTGTGGGCCCCAGCCTGGCCACCTGCCCTTACCCTGCCGGTCCAGTTGTATCCCGGGAACCCCCCCCCCGCGCGCGCCCGCCCACGCCATTCCCTGCGTAGAGGGCGTGTCGGGTGACCCCTCCCTGCCTAGACCCCGCCGGGTCCTCCGGACCCATCCCCCTTGGCTGCGCTAGACACACACCTGTAGCCGCTGATACCAATCACAGGTGCAGCTCAGCCCACGAGCACCTCTCAGCTCCAGCTGCGTGGGCGGCCCCGCCCTTGGCCAGAGCCGCCTCCCAGTCCTGGAGGCTCCCCAGACCCCGTCCTCGCCTCCCCTACCTGCTCTTGCTGAACCAGGGGCACCTTTCACAGAGGTCATCCAGCCGTTCCTAGGCCATCCCTGGCCAGGACTCAGGGCCCACGGTGGTGGTGACCAAACCAGAGGCTGGCCTAGCACTGGCCCCTGACCCTGGAAGACACCTGCGCCAGGAGCCAAGCTGGGCACAGGGGAAGCTCCCTGCCTGGTGCCTGCACGCCGCTCGCGCGGTCCCTCCCCAGCACCCTCGGTTTGCCATGGGTCCGAGAGGTAGGGCATGCCACAGGAGCCTCTGCCCAGGCTTGGGCGCCCACTCCCGACGCCCAGCTCCTCGCCAGGGTCAGCCCGCACCGCCCCCCGCCAGCCCGTGAGGACTTGAATTCCCAGTGCCGTCTTCTGAGTTAATGTGTTGGTGACAGTAGTGCCATGTGTTATGCAGGGTCTGGCTTGGAGCTCAGAGCCCCACAGTGGGCTGTGGTCTGCCAGCCGCCCAGCGCCAGTGTGGGACAGGCTGGGGACCCCCCCCCCCGAAGGTCTCACAGGGAGCTCCTCCCTCCCGAGTCCAGAGAGGCCCCGGCCGGGTGTGCTGGCCGGGGGCTGTGTCTCTGTTCCCTAAGTGCGGATGCCGAGCCGGGGAGGGTGGGCACCGGTCCCCACCCTGCTGGGCACTACAGTGGTGGGGCCTGTGCAAGTGGCTTCCCGTGGACCGGGGTCAACAGGCCAGGGTTGGAACGGGCCCTCCAGCGGCCGTACTGAGACACGAGGGTCTTCGCGGTTAATGGAAAAGGCATTCTCTGAAACCACTGCATGCATTGCGATTTTTTGTGCCAAAATAAAAGTGGGTGGTAACTGCATCTGAAGCTCTTTGACGTCCCCGTGTGCGATCTCCACGCACAAAGGCCGCCCGCTCAGCGTGTGATTCTGCAGTTCCTGGCGTCATCGCCAGTCGCTGCCGCCTCAGACCCTCTCCAGCCTGGCCTCTCCCTGGGCGGCGCGTTCAGCTTCCTCTGGGCATCCTGCATCTCCCCTCGGGAAGGTCCCGGAGCTGCTGGGCCCGCTCATGCGTGAGCATTTGTGGGAGGCGCGTCCCTGTCTCTCAGGGGTGTTGCGGGGAGCTGGAACTCCTGCACCTCCCCCGCCAGGTCTCAGCCACGCCCATGCAGGGTGAGGGCCCGAGCTCACAGGACATGTGAAGTCTCTGCGTTTGCTCCAGGACAGGCCTGCTCCAGGCTTCCGCCTCTGGCTGGCGGCAGAAGTTCTGCACCGGTTCCGATCAGACGTGGGAGCCCCGTGTGTCTCCTGCCGGATCAGACGTGGGAGCCCCGTGTGTCTGCTCTGGATCAGACGTGGATCCCCGTGTGTCTCCTGCCGGATCAGACGTGGGGGCCCCCATGTCTGTTCCAGATCAGACGTGGAGCAGATGTGGGATCCGCCCCCGTCTCTGCTCCAGATCAGATGTGGATCCCCGCGTGCCTGTTCCGGATCAGACGTGGGGGCCCCACATTTGTTCTGGATCAGACGTGGGAGCCCCATGCACCTTCCTGGATCAGACGTGGGAGCCCCATGCACCTTCCTGGATCAGACGTGGGAGCCCCATGCATCTTCCTGGATCAGAGGTGGGGGCCCCGTGCGCTTGTTCTGGTTCAGACGTGGGGGCCCCGTGCGCTTGTTCCGGATCAGACGTGGGAGCCCCACATTTGTTCTGGATCAGACGCGGATCAGACGTGGGAGCCCCATGCATCTTCCTGGATCAGAGGTGGGGGCCCCGTGCGCTTGTTCTGGTTCAGACGTGGGGGCCCTGTGTGCTTGTTCCGGATCAGACGTGGGGGCCCCGTGCGCTTGTTCTGGTTCAGACGTGGGGGCCCCGTGTGCTTGTTCCGGATCAGACGTGGGGGCCCCGTGCGCTTGCTCTGGATCAGACGTGGGAGCCCCATGCATCTTCCTGGATCAGACGTGGGGGCCCCGTGCGCTTGCTCTGGATCAGACGCGGATCAGACGTTGGAGCCCCATGCACCTTCCTGGATCAGACGTGGGGGCCCCGTGCGCTTGTTCCGGATCAGACGTGGGGGCCCCGTGTGCTTGCTCTGGATCAGACATGGGGGCCCCGTGTGCTTGCTCTGGATCAGACGTGGGGGCCCCGTGTCCCTGTCCGTCCTTTTCCCTTTCTCCCTGCCGCACGTTGCCGCTTTGCCGTCCCCCAGGTTCTGTCCTCCTCTCGCTCCTAATCTTGCTGGGACGCCTCCAGACTCTTCAGCTCTTAAGTTTTCTAATGCTTATTTGTTTATGTTTCATCTTCTTGAAGGACAGAGTGACAGGGCCAGAAGGAGGAGAGAGGAGGAGGAGGCACAGATCTTGCATGGGCTGCCTACTCCTCAGACGCCCACAGCAGCCAGGGCTGGGCCAGGCCAAAGCAGGAGCCTGGAGCTCCATCCGGTCGCCCACGTGAGTGGCAGGGCCCCAAGCACTTGCGGCGTCATCTGTTGCCTCCGAGGGTGCACCAGCAGGAAGCTGGGTCAGCAGTGGAGTAGCCGAGACGGAACCCAGGCACCGGCTAACCCCTGCTCCACGAGCCGCCGCCCCTCTCCCGGACTGGACTTCCCACCACGTCTGTCCAGGGAGTCCCTCGGAGTTACTGAGAATTCTGGGCTGTGAGAGACCCACTGCAAACTCGTTTAACCACATGAGAGCCACAGGTGGTGGAGGAGGCAGAGCTGATGAGGGGCGGCTGGGTTGAGGCTCATCCATGGGGACACTGAGCCCAGCACCTGGGTAAAGGAAGACAGGTCCCGGCCAGAGGGTCCTGGGAAAGACCGTGGGGCAGGCAGGGGCTGGGGGCCCTGACAGCCCTGGTCAGCACCCTCGCTTATGCTGGAGAGGAGCACAGGACAGGGAGGTGTACACTACAGGAGAGGGAGGTGTATACAGGAGAGGGAGGTGTGCACTACAGGAGGGAGGTGTGCACAGGAGAGGGAGGTGTATACAGGAGAGGGAGGTGTGCACTACAGGAGGGAGGTGTGCACTACAGGAGGGAGGTGTGCACTACAGGAGGGAGGTGTGCACAGAAAGGAGGTGTGCACTACAGGAGGGAGGTGTGCACAGCAGAGGGAGGTGTGCACAGAAGGGAGGTGTGCACTACAGGAGGGAGGTGTGCACTACAGGAGGGAGGTGTGCACAGCAGAGGGAGGTGTGGGTGCACCAAGGTAGACACTGCTGTCACCGTCCCGCAGCCTGAATCCAGAGAGGGTCCCTGGTGGCCCCACCTGCCTCCTGCGACGCTGAGTCCCCGCCCACCACAGCCTGCACCTCTTGGGCCCTCTGTGCGTGTAGAGCAGCCTTGGCCCCAGCCTCACAAAGTGTCCAGGGAACAACCACTGCCCCCCAACCCCAGCCACCCCTCCGCCGGCTGAGGGGGCAGAGGACGTGCTGTGAGTGCCGGGTCTGCAGCAGGCCTGGTGCTTGTGCAGCTGTGCCCTGGTCCCTCCGTCCCCCAGGGACTGCCCCTGCCTGGAGAAGCACCCATGGCAGCCACTGTGCCCTCCTGGTCTCCAGCCAGAGCTGCCGTCTGCAAGGGGACAGCCTGGGCCACGCTGCCCACACAGCCGTGTTGTCCACCTGCCCCTCGGCAGTCCTCGCAGAAGCTGCTTCCCGTGGACTTTCTGTGGGGCTTGTCACAGCCCCAAGTCCAGGCAGCTGCTCCCCTACCCCAGCCCCGGAGGCTGAGTGAGGGGGCAGCTGGCGCCTGGGAGAGGCCACAGACCCAGAGGACATCAGGAGTGTACAGCTCTGTCCCCGCACAGGAGGAGCCTCAGCGTTGACATCTGCTGGCTTAGAGACACGCAGCAGCAGAGCCAGAAACAGCAACGCAGCTCCGTGCTGGGCAGAGCTCGGGGCTGGACACAGCTCCATGCTGGACCCAGCTCGGGGCTGGACCCAGCTCAGTGCCTGAACAGAGCTCAGTGCTGGAGCCAGCTCCATGCTGGACACAGGCTCCGTGCTGGACACAGCTCTGTGCTGGACACAGCTCAATGCCTGAACAGAGCTCAGTGCTGAACACAGTTCAGTGCTGGACACAGCTCTGTGCTGGACACAGCTCAGTGCCTGAACAGAGCTCAGGGCTGGACCCAGCTCCATGACTGGACACAGCTCAGTGCTGGACACAGCTCCATGCTGGACACAGCTCCGTGCTGGGCAGAGCTCAGGGCTGGACCCAGCTCAGTGCTAGACTCAGCTCCATGCTGGGCAGAGCTCCATGCTGGGCAGAGCTTGGGGCTGGA